TTATGGAATGAAATTGGTGCCTTGCTTCTTGCAGAGGAGTTTTCTTTCCTTACCATCCTTCACTGCGGCTCTCTCTTATTTGTTTTGCTTGTCACGGCTTGAATACTGAAAGAAGACAAAGAGATTTCATTAATTTTTCTAAACACTGGGCAGTTCTATCTTTGTTTTACTGTGTAGGTAAAAACATCTTCCCTCCCTCCCTTATACGCTTTCATAAGCCTCAGTTTTTGCCTTTAGTCTTTGATAGCATCTCTCCATGATTGGTTTCCTTTGCTATGGTCTTCATTGAATATATATCCCTTGTTCCATCTATTATAGAGCTCCCTTTAAAGTGTCAGCTCATTAAAGATCTACTTTAGGTCTACTTTTCCAGTCTTCGGTGGATGTTTTTATAGTTCTTGTTATAATGTATTCTAAAATCACTTGGGAATTTCCTCTTTGTGTTTCTGCCTTTTAATTTCATAAAACAGTTCCTTTCTCTTGGACAGAATTAAGACCAAGGCAGAAGATCCACTTGGTTTTTTTCTTCTTCTTCTCTCTTCTGAGAAACGAACTTGGTAGAGTAAGTTAAAACAGTGGAACATTTCGTCTTAAGCCAGGGTTGCCTGCGGGGTATTCTTCAAAAAGTCAAAATGGCAAATTAAAGCTCCTCCCATTTTTACAGGCAATACACATAAAAACTGAGTGTGGAGCTTTGGACACAGTCATGGCCGCCATCTTGGGGTTTTTTTGCACCATATCCTGCACACACTCATATTTTATCCTGAGTTGCTTATAACTGTATTATTTCTGGAAATATTGAAGATACTGCATTGGCAATAGGGAGAAGCTTTTCTCAGAGAAATACTTTATTTGACTTATCAAAGCGTATTTATCAAAATGTGTATCTACTTTCAGAACTCTTAACAGACAGCATAACATTACGTTGTTAGATTTTAAAATACATGATGTCTGGGAAATTCATTTGTCTACAGAAAGCAAAAACAGGAGAAGGAGGATGGGAAATGCTGAAGAACCTTAAGCTGGGTCACAGGGTCCTCTTTCAGTCAAAGGATAGCATAGGTACCAAATGCAGGATGTGAAAACTAGTCCTCTGTTGAAACAGAACATGAATGGTGTTGATGCAAAACTATGCATATTTCAATTGGCTTGGAGAGAATGGATTGTATCTTTGTATGCATTTCCTTATGGATAATTGTGATTGTGTGTATTGTCACTTCTGTCTTGTAAGTGGTTGCCTAAGAAAATGTACCTAAGCTCAGCCTTCACATTATGGAAAAAGGAGATAGAAAATGTGACTGTGATAGTGATTGTGGTAATGTTCAATTAGGAGATTTTTTCCCCTCTTACTGTTTCTCAACTGAGCTTGATGAACTCTTATTACTTTAAATGCCCTTATCCTGCAGATCTTGGGCAGTTTTCCTTCCAGACTATCTGAGGACTGTGCTACAAGCTTCCTTTTCAATATGAGAGATTTGGACTTTGTGGGTTCTAGAACATTGCAAAGTTTTGGGATATGGGCCATGGGGAGTTATAGGATCCTAAAAAAGGAATTGTGCTCCCAAACAGTGGCCAAATTATCCCTGGCTATTGTTTAATCCCAAACAAACAAAAATAGACGTCTACTGCTACTAAAGTGGGTAATTGTCAATGTGAAGAGTAAAACTGGAAATGCATTACTTCAGACTTTGGGACCTCCCTTGGATCCACCTGTTAACTGGGAAGTTCCCCTCAGTCAGACTGAGAATATGGCATCCGGTTTTGGTCACCCCAATACAAAAAAGATGTTGAGACTTTGGAAAGAGTTCAGAGAAGAGCAACAAAAATGATTAGGGGCTTAGAAGCTAAAATATATGAAGAACAACTGCAGGAAGTGCATATGTCTAGTCTAGTGAAGAGAAGGACCAGAGTGACATGGTAGCTTGAAGGACTGCCACAAAGATGAGAGGGCCAACTTATTTACCAAAGCACCAGAAGGCAAGGTAAGAAACAATGGATGTAAACTAACCAAGGAGAGAAGCAATCTAGAATTAAGGAGAAAATGCCTAACAGTGAGAACAATTAACCAGTGGAACAAATTGCTTTTGGAAGTTGTGGATGTCCTATCCCTGGAGGCTTTTAAGAAGAGACTGGACAGTCATTTATTAGAAATAGTATAGGTCTCCTGTGAGAGCAGGGGGCTGGAGTAGATGACCTCCAAGATCCCCTCCAACTCTGTTACTGTGTTATTGGATTAGTACTTGCCTGGGGATAAGATGTTCCAGGCACTTTTGATTTGCTTGGGAGCACCCCAGTGCGTAACAAACACATTAATAAAGATTTTCTCCTTTGTCTACAGGAATACTTTAATACTGAGCAGAAAAAGGCAAGCTCAACAACTAAATGGAAAAAATAGGAAATTTTGATAGAAATAGAAGAAAAATATGTTGTTAAGATAGTGGTTTATTATCCTCAAAATATATGTCAATTCCTATGCATACACATCCATAGGTATATGCGTATATAATCACACAAGGGAAGCAATGCAGCTTTTTCTCTTGCAATCATACTGATTAATGTGAGCATCCTCAACAGCCACCCTGTTCAGAAACAGATAGAGTAAGTCCTCGACTTACAACAGTTCATTTAGTGACCATTTGAAGTTACAGTGAAAAAGTGACTTATGACCGTTTTTCAGCATTGCAGCATCACTATGGTTACATGATCAAAATTCAGATGCTTGGCAACTGACTCATATTTATGATGGTTGCAGTGTGTCTTGAGGGTCATGTGATCTCCTTTTTGAGCTTCTAACAAGCAAAGTCAATGGGGAAGCCAAATTCACTTAAGAACCATATTACTAACTTAACAATTGCAGTGATTCCCTTAACAGCTGGGGCAAGAAAGGTTGCAAAATGGAGCAAAACTCACTTAACAACTGTCTAATGTAGCAACATAAATTTTGGACTCAATTATGGTCATAAGTCAAGGACTACCTGTACTAACCATATTTGCAAATCTGGAAGGGTGGCCCTGGTAGCAACAAAAACTAAAGGATCTTGGACATTTTCAGCAGGTTTATGCTGCAAGTTTTGCCCCCGTTTTCCGGGGTGGGGGTGGGTGGGAAGCAGGAGTTAAGATAATGACCATAAAAAGGGGGCAAATTTGCATTGTGATATATTAGTCTGATCTACCTTGATCCCTCCCCTGGTGCTGCCACCTCCTGCAATTTTTTTTGAACTTTATAATAAAGTTGCCTTCAAGTTGAGCTTGATACCTGCTTTCTGCACAGATATATCCATGTAGTTTCCTTGGCAACAATTCAGAAATAGTTCCTTCTTCCAGGAAATTTTACTGACTTCCTAATTGAACTACAATTCTGATATTCCTGATTAACCCTTCTCGAAATAGTGGAGTGACCCCTCTCCTGGTGAGTTTGTAAGACATAAGAAAATAAAGAGAATAAAGAAAATTAGTGAATAGTGAGGAAAGAATATAGAAATATAAATAAAAAAGGAAAGGAAAGAAGCAGCTACTGGTCTTGATTGCGATTATAGATATATTTATATTTTACCCTCTTTCTCTAAAGTTACATTACAATTTTCTTCTTTTCTTAAGTTATCCTTTCTAATCTTCAAAACTTCATCTCTCTCTCTCTCTCTCTCTCTCCCTCCCTCCCTCTCTCTCTTTAGCAAAAAGTCTATAAAGGGTTTCCAGCCACTAATAAAAGTAGATGTTGATCTTTTTCTAGTCAAACGAATTAATTTTGCCATCTCTGCTAGTTCAGGCAAATATTCCTCTGTGGTACATATTTCAGATTTTTCCCATTTTTGCTCATATAATAGTCTTGCAACAGTAATCATATTTAAAAATAATCTTCCATGGCTCTTTTCTAGTTGACTGTCCATTAATGCCAGCAAGAAAATGTCTGGTTTCAGCTGAATGTTGATCTTCAAAATTCTTTGTATCATCATATGTATTTGAACTCAGAAATTTCTGTATTGTTGTACAAGTTTATCAGGCATAATGGGAATTCTCTTAAATGCCCGATGAAAGCCTTCTTTTTTCCCCAAGCCTATTTTCAAGGATTTCATCTTGATCACATGTTTTTAATGTTGCTTTTATATGTGTTCTAATTTTTTGTATGTATTTTAAAAAGGCGATTCCTGGTATAAGTTGCCCTGGGGGTTTGGTCCCAGAAAAGTGCATAAAATAATAATAAGAACATATCAGAGTGTATTTAGCCCATTAAATCCATCTGCCTGCTAAGTGCAAGAATCCAGATTGAATCATCCAGACAGATGACTGCCTACCCTCTGAAGGCATCCTATGACGGGAACTGCCTCCCTTTCCCGATTAGTTCTATTGTCTCAGATTCCTTAGAAAAAATCCAGAGGATTTTGTCTTCTTCCACTTTTGGTCTCTTAACTGCAGTTTCTGTGTAGTCTTTTCCTGACAAGTAGTCTATAATGTCATAATACTGCTTTTTTTATAGCTGAAAACATTTTTCTGGCAACTCCTTGATATACTTTTGCTGCTACATTTTTTTTTTAATAGTTGCTGTGCTATACAAGATAAATAATGGAAGCGTATCTAATAAAAGTTACATGTAAAGCTATTGCTGTTAAATTGGCTTGATATGCATTTTAAATTATTCAACATGCTTACAAATGTACACTTCATTTTAAGTATTAATGTGGTCATGTATTTTGGAAAGAAGGATATTTGCTCTCAACGTATAGCCCATTTACAAGGCAAATATAGGTACTAAGGCAAAACATTTGCATAAGGGACAGTATAATAAGCAATTATGCATTTTAATAGACTTTCCTTCTTAGGATGTAATTGGCTTTAATTATTGCCATATACAATATTTTTTGGAACATCATATTTGCCTGTGCTGTAGAAATGGAGATGGGATGGAGTGGGAGAATAAAAAAGCAGGAGCCAAATGACTGTGATGTTAGCTGAGCAATCTGACTATAATGGTTTGGTGTTTCTCCTTTTACATTCAGGAATATCTGATAGGGACTGTTGAAAGACACTCCTGCAGTTGTTTGATTGTTTACAGGGGTGGGATCCTACTGGTTAAACAACTGGTTCGCTGAGCGTGTGCATGCAGTTTCCATAAAATTGAATTTCTGCATTGCAAACAAGGAAAGGAGCAAGGAAAACAGCTGAGGAGGGCCAATTCAATCTGCTGCCCCTGATCAGCTGGGCTTCAGAAGCAGAAATAAAGGTCAGTATAACCCGGGGCAGGCAGGCAGGCCCACTTTCACAGCAACAGAGAACCAGTTTGTTCATGGCAGGAAGTGGGAACTACCGGTTCGGCTAAACCGGTCCGAACTGGTAGAATCCCACCACTGATTGTTTTCTGTGCTTCTAATTGTAGAAACAAACATGAACAACATGTTAAAAACCAATGGTAGAGCTATGTATGAAGCTGAACTTGACTATGCCTTAATTCAAGACCTAACATTTCCTGGGAACTATATTTTTTATTTTTTCTCCTGAAATTGAATATTTGCTAATTGTCTATGGAGATTCTCAGTCATCCAGGTCATGGTTGTCCCAAAGATGCTTTTTAAAGAGACAACTGGACTTTCTGGTTTTTCTTTGAAGACACAGATAAACCTCCAAGTGACCTCAACGACTCACTAAAAGAATGCAAATGACCAGCTGTCAGAAAGGAGTATGAACCTTCCATTCCCCACTATCCAGTCAGAGTTGGAAAAGCGAAACGTCTTCAAAGAAAAACCAGAAAGTCCAGTTGCCCCTTAAAAAAGCACCTTTAGGATATCTTTGCTAAATAAAAATTATATAAAAACTAATTGTAATTAGCAACTAGTTGTAATTTGCAAAGTAATACACTTTGGGCCAGTCCCTTTCTCTTGGCTCAACTCAGAAGGAGGAAGGAGTATTAGGTATGTTTACCATACTGAGTTATCTATAAAAATATAGATGGAATAGATGGAATTCAAAAAAATCTAAAAAAGAAGAAGCTGGGGATAAGTGGGAGGAATGAGGCAGATTTCAGCTGGACAAAAGCATCATAGCTAGGAAATAGAGAAAAAAAGAAGAAAAATAGCATAAAAGAAATAAAAAAACATACTGGGAAGTTTTTTTCTTGGTCTGAAACAGGAGCAAAGAAAGCAATTTGAACATAAGGGGAGGGGAACAAAAATAACAGTTCCTCCCTGCTGAGCAGAGATCCCCTCTCTGCAGCACAACGGGGAGGAGGAAGTTGGCTGGCAGACTCACCAGGAAGAAAAATGCCCAGCACATTAGCTGAGAAAGGAGAGAGGCTTTTTAGAATAAAAGAAGAAACTATCTTGATTATATGGGCCAGGCTGGAGGAGATCCAATCCAGAAGAAGAGCTCAATGATGGACAGAGAATTGGAGGAGAAATGCTGCTGCAGTCTTTTACAGACCCAGGTGCTACTTTTGGGGCATTCTGCAAAGGGAAGGGAGAAAGTGCAGTTGTTTACTAATTACTGCTATTTTAAAATGTACTGAACCTTTATGACTGTTCCCTTTACAATGAAGAGTTCTCAGTAAGTTCTGGAAAGGGAGGAGCTCCAGACAGATCCACGTGTGAATGAAGAAGAGGGACAGAACCTCTGCAGGATGAAAGTCCTATTTGAAGTTGTTCTCATAACTGTGATACGGTATAATACCATCTGTACAGTACCTCACTATAATTGTTGCTTCTAGCTGAAAGTAGTAAAGCTATTATTCACAAGAGAGAGATTTATCTTTTGTTAAATTTCCTAGAAGAAGGGACAATGACCTATTAGTCTCACTTACTGGGTGGAGACACTTTCTTTACTGCAAGAAAGTTGGAAGGAGGCGATTCAGAGTTCTCAAAGGAATCCTTTGTTGAAGCAAAAGATATCTTCTGCCACCTGAACACAGTAGTTGCACATCCTTTGTTCCTCTACACACTTGAGGTGTGTACTTGTTACTTAAAGGAACAGACAAAGTAAAATAATCAAAAGTCTGGCTTCTAGAATTATGGTTTCAACGTGTTAAAAGTTGTCAAAGCAGCTCAAATTTTGTTCTAATGAATAAAATGGCACTTCCTTTTTAGGTTTTATTGAACATTTCTGGAGGGAATTAGCAAACCATTTTTTGGCAACAGAATGTCGCCAGAATGTGAAAATTGTCACATTGCCCACCAGTCACATCTCCACAGTAACTATGCATGGAAAGGACTAATTAGCAATAATGACTGTAGGGATGTACTTAACCTGTCCTCTCTCTTGTCCCTCACATATTGGTCTTAGAGGCTTTAATAAAAAAGCATTTCACATTCAGCAAATGTAACTGAATTCAAGGAATGAGTTAAGCTATTTAAATTCTTCAACTTGCCTCCCTTTTCCCAAAGAACAAAAGACCTGCTGCTATATTGTGAAAATGTTTTGGAATGGAACCTTTGACAGTGGGGCATATGGAAAAAGAAAACAAAATCAAAGCAAACAAAGACCTGGAAGAAGAAATGACTGTGCAGTAGGACCAGGTAGTATACTTTCTATGTTCTGCTTTGGGAAGATGCTTGTGCCCCCCCCAGGCCTTCCACAATGTAATGTATAGATAGCCCCTCTTGTGAAGAATCTACATATATAAAAGCAAAAACCACTCACGCATTAATCACAAAATCTCCAGAATCGTAAAGCCTACAAACTTGAAATTTGCCACGTATGTTCTTCTTGGCTTCTAGGTGCTCACTAAGAAAGGATTTTTTGAAATGACTGTCAGAGCATTACTATTTCCTATATTATTATTAACGCACTCTGATCAGTGGTGGGTTCCTTCCAGTTCCGCCCAGTTGCACTGAGCCGGTAGCGGTGACAATATAATGTCACCGAACCGGTTCTGTCCTACTGCCCCCCGCCCCCCTGCATTATTCTTACCTTTTATTTGGCCCCATCCCCAATCTATTGCTGCCTCCTGAGTTCCAGCTGATCGGCTAGAACAGTGGGTCTCAACCTTCCTAATGCTGCGACCCTTTAATACAGTTCCTCATGTTGTGGTGACCCCCAACCATAAAATTATTCCTAAAACCATTGAAAATATGTGTTTTCAGATGGTCTTAGGCGACCCCTGTGAAAGGGTCGTTCGACCCCCAAAGGGGTCCCGACCCATAGGTTGAGAACCACTGGGCTAGAAGGAAAAAAACTATTTAAATTCTTGCCGCGGGGCTTCAAAGGGCCGCCCTATAGCTGATCAGTTTTAAAAGGCAGTGTGGTGGTAGACCAGTGCCTCCAAAAACAAATGAGTAGACTGGTGCCTGCAAAAATAAATGGGTAGACTGGTGCCTGCAAAAATAAATGGGTAGACCAGTGCCTCTAAAAACAAATGAGTAGACTGGTGCCTCCAAAAACAAATGAGTAGACCGATGCCTCCAAAAACAAATGAGTAGACCGGTACAGCTCTGCAAGCAGTTAAAAGCCTGGTAGACCAGTACCTCTGCTAAATTCTAAAGAATTGTTACATGACCATCAAGCCACATCCACAAAATAAGCCACGCCCACAGAACCGGTAGTAAAAAAATTTAGAACCCAACCGACTCTGATGCTAAGGAGTTATACTCCCCCTCTCCACCTGAAAAGAAATCTGTTCCACGCTCTGATGCTAAGAAAGTTCTATTTCCACTCCCCACCTCAAAAGAAATCTGTTCCAAATACAAAACACAAGCAGAGAAGTTTCACTTTCAGTTTTACTTTCACAGCAGCAAGCAGCTTTACTACAGAACAGTTGAGCGAAGCCACGCCCAGCCTCTTTCCTGTCTCCTTCTTGATCACACAGCAAATACTGTTTGAGTTTCCAAACACCCCTCAACTCTCTCACACATTGACAGGATGCTAGACAGTTGAATATTGATGGATGCTGCGGGCTGGGACATTCTACTCCCCCTCCTCCTCTGTTCCAACTGCCAGTTGCATTATATTAACACACTCTGATGCTACGGAGTTACACATTCTACATTAAGTTTCAGGCTGCAAGTGTCAATTTATCAAGCCTGAGCACATAGTTTCATAGCGAAGCACGGGCGTCCAGCTAGTATTTGGAATAAAAAGCACTACACAGACTCAATTAGCAACAGAAGAGGTCATCAGTCTTCCTTCAACCCCATTGTAGCTTGTAGGCTGAGGTCTCATAGCAAGAACCATTCAATTTCTGGACATGCAACTTTTCCTGAAGTTCATTCATTCATTGTCACAATGAATTCATGTGTTCATTGCCACAAGTCTTAGTGCAAAATAATGTTGAAAAAGAATTCTAGATCAGGTATAAAGCATATGGATTAACATTTTTTAATTCGACTGCGGAACTTCTACGATAGAGCCGGGAAAGATCACAGCCAAAACATTACAGAAGTCCAGGTGTCACTTCAGGAAAGGTGATTTACTAAATATTCGAGCCACAAAACGATGGTTTCTAGAGTCTTGTACTATCACCTCCCAAGAGATTTTATCTTGTCCTTTGTCAGTTTCATGAAGTCATCCTGATCTCTGCATAAAAATATTTTTTTGCAACTTTCCAGCTGGTTGCTAAGGAAAAAGCCATTGGTTTAAAAATCATTATCATAAACTTGTAGGAAGTATTTATTAAAGAAAATATTCATGCACTGCAAAGTTTTTAATTAGTTTTTCTTATTTGCTGTGTTTCAGAGATGAGAACCTTTTTTTGACAAGTTGATAATGAAAAACCAGATGGAATTGAAATTTAAAGACCCTGCTACTCCAAAGTTAGGGTGAAGGATAACATCACAATGTAATAAGATAATTAATTCAGCAATATTGTGATAAGTGTAATTGTTATAGGTCTGATTAATTTTCAGTCTAGTTATTTCCATGCCTAGGCATCTTATCTTCAGTTGACATCTTTCATTTATTCATTCTAAAGCATGTTGCTCCTAAAATAATTCATTGCAGAATTTTCTCTTTGATGCATCCCATTTTTAGAGGCTAGGTCTAAAATTATGTTTCTGACTTAAAATATGATTATAGCACAGATTTGTCTATTATAGATGCACTTGATGGGACAAGCTGGTTGTCTGGCTAGCTCAGAAGTTGTGGGATGAAACACATTTTTTGTTATCAGTTTCCTTGCAATGCATAACAACATATATTCTCCTATTCTACAGAGCACTCAGTGAAACTCAACCATGTGCACCGAATATTTTAAACTTTGTCTCTCCACTAAAATATTAAAAACAATAGCAGTCAACTACCTGTACTTCAGCATTTCTATGGGTAAGCCATTTCTCAGCTATTAGGAAAGTAACTCAACTTGGATTGTTCTTTTTCATTTTTTTAAAAAAGATTGTTTATTCCATCTTTATTATTTTTATAAATAACTCAAGGCAGTGAACATATGTAACACTCTTTCTTCCTTCTATTTTCCCCACAATAACAACTCTGTGAAGTGAGTTGGATTGAGACAGACTGGCCGAAAGTCACACAGCTGGCTTTTATGCCGAAAGTGGGATTAGAACTCACCATCTTCTGGATTCTTGCCTGGTGCCTTTGACACTAGATTAAACTGGCTCATCCTTTTGCTCCTCAACCTTTCCTCCATTTTGGATTGCCTTATTAATCTTTTTTTGTAGATATCTGAGCAGCATCTCTGGCTTACCCCCTCCAGGGTCTTATTTCTTTCTATCTCCTCAAACCACAGAGTGTGCTTGGCTAGCTCAGGACCCTGAAAATGTAACAAGAAGAAATATACAGTAAGCCTTTTAACTTGGTGACATAAGAAACAACGTGAAGATGAACCAATGGAATTGAGTGGCAGTATAAAGGTTAAAGGCTGGAAAGGTAGAAACAGTGATTTACAGATTGCAAAAGATTGTTACATTTCAGTTGCCAACAAGCAAATTGCCAAGTAATAGTTAACTTGGACAAGAAGGAGGGAGGAGGCAAACCTGTGCACTGGTGTACACATGGACAACTAAAGGCATGGAATTCCTTGTTCTGCAGTGGGCAATCAACTTTCTGCAATATGGATTCTTTTTGGGTTTTTCCATTTCTTGGTTCTATTCAGTCGTGTCTGAATCTTGGAGACTGCCTAGATAAGTCCCTACAGTTTTCTTGGCAAGGTTTTTCAGAAGTGGTTTGCTATTGCCTTCTTCCTAGGGCTGAGAGAAAGTGACTGGCTCAAGGTTATCCACTTGGCTTTGTATCTAAGGCAGGACTAGAATTCTCAAGTTCTCCTGGTTTCTAGCCGATGCCTTAACCACTACACCAAGCTGGCTCTCCAACGTGGATTCTAATCTAACCTAGTTGTCTCTAAAATTTATCTCCCAATGGAAGAGAATATACTGTATGTAGCTCAGGGTTGAACAGTTTAATCCTTGGTGCTCTCTGACCTTGGTTGTTTGCTTGCAGACATTTCATTACCTAGGTAAGTGACATCATTAGTGCTGGGTATCAGAGGTAATGAAACATCTGCAAAAAAACAACGGAGATCAAAGACACCAAGAATCTAACAGTCCTCTAGGAAGTTAAGCAGAGTTGAAAGGTAACTTGTCTGAGGAAGTTGTGGAAGCTGTCTGTGATTTACTTCCAAGCCCTAGAGTGAAATTTGACAACTATGCTACTTTAGCCTGTTATGCTATTTCACCATTACACTACAGTATTTCATTATGACACCTCTGTTTTTTGATTTCACCATTTTCCTATCATGGTATGGTTAAAGCACTGCTGGCTGAGTAATATCCAGTTCTTTAGAAGGGTTGAGGATGTGGCAGTAGCACAAATGCTGGGGAGAAATTGACAGTGATGATTCTGTACTGTCATTCCTGATTTTAAATCAAAGTGGAGTATAGTTGAACAAATAGTTTGGTCTTCAGTAGAGAAAATTGTAGACTCAGAGCTTGGATTCCATGGCAGGAGAAGCTTCTGGGGAAAAGATCTCAAGCTGGGAAGAAATTCCTAAAGGGGAGATAACCAAAAAGAAGAAAAATAGAGGACAACAACAACAACAACAACAACAACAACAAGAAAGCTCACAAGGCTGCACAAACTACTTGACGAAATCTGAGAGCAAAAATAGATACACCCAGGATCGAAAAGAAGAACAGAACATCAAGAGTGTGAATAATAATATCACACATGATGAAATGGATATAGGGTCTCCTGCTTGGGTATAGGGCAGTTGGACTAGAAGACCTCCAAGGTCTATTCCAATATCCTTTTAGTCTATATATTCCATATGTTACAACGTATAAGTGCAAGTAAAGCACAGAAATAAAAAGGAGCAGGAAAACAAAAACTGCTTGAAGACCCTGGAGGGATTGAAAAAAGATATGGAAACCAGACTGATATTTGATACGAGGGGAAGCAATATACAGGTACAAATAAATGCCATTGTTTATGGTATTTGGTATTAATATCTGTGATGGGAGCTGGGTGGGGGGGGGAGTTATAGAGTCCTGTTAGTAAAGAGAAATGGAGAGCCAAAATAAGGTCACCCATAGCATTATCAGATGCTACGTTCTGATTGTAAAGGTCACAGTATGATGATCATTATTTTCTTTATATTCCTATGTAACATTTCAAATGGAACATAACCTGTAACATTGTTTAGTTTGGGGATCTTTCTTGCTCATTTGGCTGGGAGCCCAGTGGTTTCTGTAGTTGTGCAGGTCAATAAAACATACTTTGCTACGTCTACCTCTAAAGGCTTTGGTTCTTTATTTAAGTAGTGAATTTAAGTGGGCATCCTTCCCACAACACAGGTTCGGGGAGAGAGAGATTGTCAGGAAAGGTTAAGTTCAAAGTGAGCATATCATCTGTTCAGCAAAGACAATAAGAAAGCAACAAGTAACAACAACAAAATGCATAACTTTTATTTGGACTCTGTTTCCTCCAAACAGAGAGAATATGTTATATCGGGATAATAATGATAGTATCTAAATTAATATTTAAATTAATAAAACTGAACAATAACCATAGAACGAACAGTTAAGGGAACTAGATATGTTTAGCCTAATGAAGAGGGGTGACATGACAGCTGTCTTCCAGTACTTAAGGGGCAGTTACAGAGAAGAAGGGGTTAAACTACTCTGCAAAGCACCTGAGGGCAGGAGAAGAAATAACAGATGGAAGCTTTTCAAAAAGAAATCCAAATTAGAATTAAGAAGAAATTTCTTGAAAGAACAATTAATTAATGGAACAGCTTGCCCTCTGGAGTTGTGGGTGCTCCATCACTGGAGGTCTTGAAAAAGAAAAGGACAACCATTTGTCTGGGATGGTATAATATCTCCTGCCTTGGGCAGGGAGTGGATGAGAAGACTTCCAGAGTCCCTTCCAGGCCTATGAGTCTATGATCTATGCTGCCCAATTCCCAAAGACTATGCAATTTACAAATTGTCAAAAACATTTAAAAACTGGGCGGGGTGGGGTGGGGGAGTTAAAGATGGCAGAAATGCAAAACTAGATGGAAACAAAGGGAAAAAGGGAGCTTCAAACATCCTCATCAAAGGTCTGGGCAAAGAGCCTGGTGTTCAAGGCCTTTTAAAATGCCAAGAGAGCGGGAGCCATTTGAATCTCAAGGGAATCTCTTTCCAAAGGGCAGATCCTGCTACAGAGAAGGTACACTTCCAGGGTCCTGATAGATGTCATTGTTTATTTAAAGGAAAACGGAAAGTGCTACCTCTACAAGATGTAATTCACTGGGCAGATACTATGAGAGATAATACCAAGTAGCCAAACCCTATTCTTCATATAGGGTAATACCTAATATAGGGTAACACTAACACCTTAAGAATGCTGATTATAATAGTAAAGTCTAATAAAAACTAAACTTATAAAAAGGAAAGAGAATGAAGAGGAGTAAAAAGTGCAAGAAAAAAGAACAAGAAAAGAAAAGTAAAAACATAATAAAGAAAAAAAACAAATATATATTAAAATTAACTTCCAACCTTCATCACAAAGTACAAACAAATTTAATAACTTTTCATCCTTTGCGAAGCTATAAACATTTATCTCTTCATCTCATGGCCCATCTCTTATTTATAAACAGATCCATAAAACATGGTGTCATCAGAAAGTTCATAAAGACTATCCAGAAATAACATCATATTTTAACCTTGATCAAATAAACCACCTTTATACTCCTTCCTTTTACTTCTAATAGTCTTAATCTTAATGAACTAACAGTTCATTTGAATATTGTCATGAGATTAGATTTCTCATCATTTCTTCTTTGTGTTATCACACAGAATTTTTAAAGATTTTAACAAGCCTTTTTTGTAAATCCAGCTAAGAAAAAAAATATCCAGGTCACTCTCCTGGTTAGTCATTTGAATTTCCTTTCCTCAATCAGTTTCTTTTGTAGATGCAGTGAAACATCCTTTTCTAAATCATTCTTTTGGACTGTCAGTTATAAAATCAATTTCAATACTATCGCTATCTTGTCTGATACATTTTTTCCACATTTGACATTTCTTCAATAATATTTTTTGGACATAGTCTATCCATAGAAGTAGACTATTGTGGCTACTGCATTCTGACATATTACTGACATATTGTGGCTACTGCATTCTGATTTCAGTCTTCAAAAAAAACCCTTCAGTACTTTTATCGTCATCATGTTTTGCACCATTTTACAAGCCTATATATCCTTCCTCTACTTAAAACCTTTAGTCCCCTCTACTGTCCATTTTTTGAAATCATGAAATTATTTATCTATGTAACATCTTGTGAAAATGGAAGTAGAATCTATTTCTCACAAAAAGTTGTATTCTTAATTCCAAAAATCTTATTGAAAAAGTTTGATATTCCAATTTTATCTGGATCCTTAGTCCATTTATAATTTATAACTTTCTAAAATCAATTTTTTATTTAGATTTTGCTGTTTATTTCAGGGTCTTTAAAAACCTTCTGATAATTTTTTCCCCATTTAGAATTAAAGGCAGACTCACCTTGCATTTTCAAACTTGTTATTCCAAAGGTCTCTCTTATTTCAGAAGTAGCCAATAAGCAATTTCTAAATGTGATTAGAAAGTGAGATTTGTTAATTTAGTGTCCTTTAAAAGTCTCTGCCATTATACCAAGCAGAACAGGTAATCCCATTGTCTGCTAGTGCTCAAACTTGCATAAAACTGCTATTCTGTGGTTTTGTAGAAAGCAGCAGTCCAGAGCATATGGGTGATCTCCCATCCTCTCTTTATCTGGAATGGTTCAAGGAACTGGTTTGCTCACCATTCCTTGGTCTTTGCTGGTCAACAGCTCTACTTTTGCTGAGTCCATTCCTCCATATCTTCCCCAGAAGTTAGTTTTATGAATGAAAATGGAAAGAATTGGAAATGTTTAGGTTTGACAAACAAAGATGGATGAATCTATTACAGCACTTCAGATATTTGAAGAGATGTCATACAAAGGGGGAAGACCTATTTTTTTAATATTCTGGAGGGTAGGACATTGAATAGTGGCTTTAAGTTACAAGATGGCAGATACTGACTGTAAATTGGGAACAAATCACTATTAAGATATTAAGAATCTTCTTAATATCACTATTAAGAAGATTGAAAATAGAACCGACTTCTTGAGAGGCTTTGGCCTCCCATTCACTATGTATTTTCAAGTAGAGTTTGGGTAGCTATCAGGCAGGGAAGTTTTAACTGGAACTCAGTACTGATTTCTTCTAGCCCTATTATTTTGAGAAAATATTTTAGTCTTTTTGATGCTTCTGAGGCATACAAAAAAGGTAAACAAGGAACTAGAAGAACGAAGGTAGGGCCGCTGAGCAAATGGTCAACTATTTTGTCCTTCCTGTATGCTCTCAGATAAAAGACTTGAAGCAAAAGGAAAACAAGAAAGATTATGCAAATATCTTCATTATAGTTGTTCCCGATGTAATGGGATTAACTGAAATGGCCTTGTCAGATTCCTTCTTAGGAATTATCTCATTACTATTGATTCAATTTGCAATGAACAATTATTCTCTGATTGTATGATAGGGAAAAAGGTTTGTTTTATTGCACATTTACAGTCCTTAAAACTTGAAGAAAAATCAGGATAAAGAATCAACTGGGAAGTGACTAAGTTCCTTTTTTCTTATATAACAATTCTATTACAGTTCCAATTTACAATGGTGACAGCAACACACAATTTTAATTAAGTAATTAAACTTAAGCTTAGTATAATTATCAGCTTCTAATTATTGGATCTATTTTTTTGGATTCAAACATGTTCTGTTTGATTTTTCCTTTAATGAGTTTTAACAAACAATCCCAGTTGTAATAAAAGTGAGGATTTCATACAGAAATTGCAAAATGATTAATCTAACTTTCTTCTGACAGAATTTAGGAGAAGTAGATTCCATAGGTACTTCTACCTCAGATGTATTATCAATCTGGTCTTTCTATGTACATCACTATAAATATTGTCTCATTTCCTTCACGGCTTTTTATAACGTTATTAATAAGTTATCTAGTTTGGATTTGAGAACAAAACAGAGATTGTGGGTGCATTAATATTTAAATCACATGCAAAAAAAAATCTACACAGTTTTCATTTCTTTTCAGTCTAGGAAAACCATTTCAATTGTTAGATAGTCTCAATAATCTATTGTTCTTTTTAATATTCATTAAATTCATGATATTCAAAAATGCCACCAACAAAACAGAAGGTCCAAAGATCATTTACCACTAAGAAATCTACCAATCAAAGCACTTTCATTCATTATTCCTCAACAGTTTAGAAAAGAGGAATAGATTTTCTCAGACAGAATCCGCAGTGAAGATACTGACAAATTACACACAGACACAGACACATCGACACACAAAGAAAAAACTCTGTAGCAACATTCTGATCAATGGCAAGCAAATAATGAACAAGAATCTTGTATCTTAAAGTCTAGTAAACGTATTATCACAAAAGCTTTCATGGGCCACATCATACTTTATTTGGTCCATGGAATATTAACTTCAGAGAAACTTTATAATTACACTGCTATCAGTGTGATTGAGGAAGGGGAGAGGGAAATGAAATGAAATAGTATAGAGAAGTAAACATTGATAAGACATTTGGTGTGAATGTGAAGTCCTTGTATCAAGTAAACTAATACAGTGCATGTAATAAAAGCACTGGTTTCTTTTTATATCTTAAGAAGCTTCATAATAAATTTCTGTTTGTGCTGTTTCATGATGAAGTAAGCCTTTGTGGAATTATCAAAATAACATTTAAGATATAATTAAAAAGATATTCTATGGTATAGATGCATGCAATAATGCTTTTTCATTTATTTATTTTTTGTACTCGTGAGTAATGAACATGTGAAAAGAGAAGCTGAAAGGTATGGAATGGATTTATTTCACTTGATAGGTACAACCCATCAGGGCCCTTA